AATAAAAAATGGGACTCATTGAAAGCAATTTTTCAACTTTTATTATTATTTTTAGCATCTATTTTCACAGTATACCTAACACTAATGATATATTTACCTCCACTAAATGAGTAAATATTTTTGATTTTTGCATTTTTTTTTTATTTCAATTTTTTTGATCTATATTCAAAGAGAATGTATTCTTAATGATTTCGAAAATGTTTTTTAATTAATTTGCAGAGAGCAAAGAAATTTAATACGTTTGCCTAGTGGGATAGAAGATTTACAAGCATTGAATAAAATATTAGCGGAATACATGGACCTATATTATTATAGCGTAATGACTGTTTATGTTGTTGTATATGTCTTGTAAGTATTCATTAATCTTTATGATTTTTATTTAAGCATTTTATTAAAAGTAACTTGTAATTATTATTATTTTTTTTTTCAGTTTACAAACATTTTCTATACCCGGTAGTATGTGGCTATCAGTATTGGGTGGTGCTTTGTTTAGTCTTCCCACAGCTCTTTTTTTAATCTGCTTCGTAAGTATACTTCTAATGCTTTTCCTGCTAAATTCCTAATTCGAAATCTATAACAAAATAAAAAAATAAAAAAAATTGGCATTATCTCACATTTAGTGCTCATCGGCTGGTGCAACGAATTGTTACTTATTATCTCGTAAATTCGGAAGAACGTTTGTAAAAGAAAAATTTTCAGAAAAATTGGATCAATGGGCAGAAAAATTACAATCACATTCACATAATTTATTAAGTTATATGATCGTGCTTCGTTTATCACCCTTTCCACCTAATTGGTTTGCTAATGTAGCAGCTCCACATGTTGGTGTTCCCATAAAAATATTCTCTATTGGAACATTTTTTGGTGTTGCAGGTCCTTCTTTAATCCATGCACAAGCTGGTTTAACTATTGAACATTTAACAAGTGCTTCCGATTTTAAAATATTTTCTTTTACCAATGTTGGTGCTTTAGTATTATTTGCTTTAGCCGTACTTTTACCAGTTTGGTTTAGGAAAAAGGTTGAAAATGAAGGCAATAATCAACATAGTCTTAATTCACAAGAAGTAACTCAATTTACATAAATAATGTAATGGGGAAAAAAAATTTTTTTTTCGAAATATTATTTTCATTCATTTAATATTATAGATTAATCATTTTTATTAATTCCTTAAATCTCAATACCATTATATCTCACTAATTCTTGTATAAAAGTAATTTACACTAAATTTTTCATGATATAGATGATATACAAATAATAATATGCAACAATAAAAAATTCAGAAGTTGCTTATTTATATTTCAATACTATTAAAATATACAAAGTTTTATCAGATTTATAACAAAATAATTAATAATACAAAAAAAATTTAAATTATATTAAAAATTTAGCTACTAGCATTTTTTTTATTAATATTAATAATAAAAAAAAATTAATATTTTAATACAATTAGTATTATATAACTATAATATAATAAGAGCTTATATTATTTTATTATTTAATCAAAAAATAACCAGTTTTTCTACTGTTTTTTTTATAAGAATTACATTAAAAAAATTTTATTATATTAAAAATTTATTTTAATTAAAAAAATTTTTTTAAAATTTAAATAATTAAATTAATTATATAAAGATTAATTTAAAATAATTTAAAATAGGTTTTAAATAAGTTTTTATATTATTAATATTTTTAAATAATATTTTTATATATAATTGAATTGAATTAGATTTTTATTTTTTTTAAAATTTCTTATATTATTTTTTATTAAAAATATCTATAGGATTTTATTATTTTTTTAAATATATATTTAAATAGGAATAATTTAATCATTGTATAAATGCAATAAATTACCTTTTTTGTTATCTGTATTTAGTGTTCTACACAGATTTAGATTAATCTGAATCCAATCTGTCAGATTCAGATCAGATTCTGATCAGATTCTGATTCTGATCTGATCTGATCTGTTAAATTCAGATTTAGATTCAGATCCTAAATTAATTATCAAATATTAAATTGATAATCTTTTTTTGCCTTTGTAAAGCTTCTTTCTTCAGAACTGAACTGGAGAAAGCAAGCTTTATTAACTTTGGCTGTGTGTAAAAATTTTTTTAATATTTTATTTTAATATATATTTTTTTTAATATTTTAATTTATTTAAGTTTTATGTTTAATTAATTGAGTAAATAATGAGGTGTAAGCAGTAGGGATAGTGAAAGACAATAGGGTGGTAAAATGGTAGAAGGTAATAAAAGGAAGTAGAAGAAGTGAAAAATGGTGAGATAGTGGAGTGGTAAGGTAATAGGTGAAATAAAAGAGGGAAATTGCTATGTATAAATTGGGAATTATTTATTAATATTTACTTTTTATATTTCAGGATCAGTTAAAATTTTAAGCATTATTTGTTTTTTACTTTTCACATATAATCCAAACCTTCTTTAAGACTTTACATACTAAATGATCAATTTTAGTTTTTAGAAATATTTCTTACTCAAGTTCTTAATTGGATTCAGCTAGTTTCATTAAGAGTTTATTTGATTATTAGTAACTGTATCAATAAGTTTTTTAATTTATTTTTTTATTTA